GTCCCCAATCCGTGGGATCCCGCACCCGTGGGACCCCCGCCCGTGTCCGGGGTGGCCCCGGGCAGCCGCGCTCTCTCCGCTCCGCCCGGCTCGGGATGTCACCGTTCCCATGGCAACGGGAGGGCCGGGGAAAATGAAAAAAAAAAAAAAAAAAAAAAACAAACGAGGAGGAAAGGAGATGAGGGAAGGGCTCGGAATGGAAGGGGGGCCTGGGAGAAGGGCAATCCTGGGTGGGTCCAGTCCCCAGAGGCCACCCCGCCCCACGGGGACACCCCGGGCMAGGGGATGCTCAGGGTGCGGGAACCACGGCGGGGACACAACACGGACCCTGCGCGCACCCACGGCCCAAGCAGGAGGAACCCGAGCAGCATGACCGTCAGACCGGCAGCATGACCACTGCTGGGCCCGGGGACAGCCACCTCCCCGGCCCCGCGCGGTGTCAGCCGCGCCACCCGCTCCCAAACCGATCCCGCGGCTCYGAGCGGCCCTTAGCAGCTCAGCATCCTCTGGCCAACCTTCCCGGATCTCCTTTTAGCAGAGCCTCGCCACAGCCGAGCTGCCAAGCCCTGCTGATCCTGCCCTCCCCGCTGCAGCCCAGTGCGGGGACCCCGGGGCAGGGACCTCATGGCAGGAAGCCACACAGAGGGACCCCAGTGCAGGGACCCCAGTGCAGGGACCCCAGTGCACAGCCCCTGATGCACAGACCCCAGCACAGAGACCCCACTGAAGGACCCAGTGCGGGGACCCCATGGGAGGGAGCCCGGGGTGAAGTCCCCGGTGCAGGGACCCGGCYGAGACCTCACTGTCCCCGCTCCCCYGGCTCTGCCAGGGMTGGGGCTGCCCTTGGTCTCCTCGGCACTGCGGTCACTCAGGACAGAGACAGCCCCGGCAGCACAGAGGTGCCAATTCCTCCTCCATTAGCAGCCCGTGGATTCTTTTATCAGCCCTGCGCTTCCCYGTACAATGTTGATCATTTCGATGGAGCATTTGTTGTAATTTCCCAAATGAGGAAGCAATCTTGTAAATATTGTGCGGTAATTAAAATGGCTATTTATTGTGCAGCATTCTGGCTGCTGCCAGCACAGAACATGATTAGCATTCCCCTTCCGAGCCCTCGCTCCAGCCGTCCCGCGGCTCCAGACGGCTCCGTCGCCCGCACGCTCCTGGCCCTGGCCATGGCACAGCGGTGACACGGAGCTCTCCACACCTGCAGTCCTGCTGCTCGATTTCCTCACTGCTGACAAACAACGGCAGCTTTGGGATCCCCCAAAAGCTGAGGAGCACAGCAAGGAGAGAGAAACACGGGCTGTCGCTGAGCATTACCGGTGTGGCCCTGGACTATCACCCTCACCACATTTGCATGAGCACAAACGAGTTCTCTGAGGCTTTCCCTGCTGTGGCTTTTGTCTGTTATTTCTTCTCCACAAACAATCAAAGTGGCAAAAGCTGAAAAAAAAATAATAATACTTGCAAATAAATGTCTGTCCAAATCCATTCTAAAACCCCTTTAAAATGCAAATCCTTCAGCTCGAGCAGTGCTGGGCACAGAAAGTGTTCGGTGCTGGGAGAAGCGAGGCTGGATGTCAGCAGGGAGGAGGCGCAGCCCCCGCTGCCACCAGGAGCTTTGGTCCCTCTCCAGCTGGGCAATGGGGCTGCAGGGATCTGGGGGTCCCCATGGGGGACACGTCTATGCCAGMTCCTCTCCAGGGAGCCTGAGTAGGCGGCTGATGCCAGTAAGAAATGAAAAATCAATGGAATGAGTAGAAGCAGAAGTGGGGTGGAATGGGGGGGAAAAACACCCTCTTCCCACATTGCTTTTCCACCAGCCTTGCTCCAGGGCTTCTTCCACTCTGCTGCAGGGAGAAGTGTGGGACCAATTGGTCTGGGTCCCCAACACCAAGCTGGGACTGTCCCAGTCTGCCCCCATGAAACATCCCCAGGTCTCTGGCAGGAGCCCCCGGAGCTTTGCATGTGGTGAGGAGGCTTCTTAGTGCTCTTTGCATACCCTGACGGGGCTGCTCCAGCTTTGGGGCCTGGCTTTGGGGGCAAAGGAAACACAGCAGGGGCTGGCACAGAGCTCTGGGGCTGCAGGGACGTGGGGCACAGTGCTGGGGACGTGGGGCAGTGCTGGGGGACAGGGCACAGTGCTGGGGGCATGGGGCAGTGCTGGGGGATGTGGGGCAGTGCTGGGGGCATGGGGCAGTGCTTCGGGATGTGGGGCAGTGCTGGGGGACAGGGCACAGTGCTGGGGGACGTGGGGCATTGCTGGGGGATGTGGGACAGTGCTGGGGGATGTGGCACAGTGCTGGGGGACGTGGGGCAGTGCTGGGGGATGTGGGGCAGTGCTGGGGGACAGGGCACAGTGCTGGGGGCATGGGGCAGTGCTGGGGGACAGGGCACAGTGCTGGGGGACGTGGGGCATTTCTGGGGGATGTGGGACAGTGCTGGGGGATGTGGCACAGTGCTGAGGGCATGGGGCAGTGCTGGGGGATGTGGGGCAGTGCTGGGGGCATGGGGCAGTGCTGGGGGATGTGGGGCAGTGCTGGGGGACAGGGCACAGTGCTGGGGGATGTGGCACAGTGGTGAGGGATTTGGCATGGGAGCAAGGAGCATGGCACAGCCGAGAGGGACATGTCACAGTGTTGAGGGCCCCGTGGGCACGTGGCAGGATGGCGAGGGACGGTGCCCAGCCCCATGGGCACTCCCCCAGCCCAGGAGGGCCGCAGCCCATCTCCAGCCCTGCGCGGCTGCAGGAGCTTCCCCTGAATTCCATCCCACTCCCACTCCTCCATCTCGCTCCAGCTCCTACAGGCAGATGCCAGCTCACGCGCAGAGCTGGCTCCGCACGTCAGAGCCACCTCCGCTGTCCCCCGTGCCGYGCCCACGCAGCCACCCAGCCCCGCCCGACCCATGGAGCACCCATGGGAGCCTCYCATGGCACCGGCACCGGGGTGTGGGCCGGGAGCTCCCGGGGCTGCCGCAGACACCAGAGATGAGCTCGGGGCTCATCCTTTGCAGCCACTGCATGGGCAAAATGAGCTAAAAGGATTAATTCACCTTTCTTTTCAGGCTGTGATTGCTCCAGCTGCTGAAAGCTGGAGCTGAGCAACGGGAGAATTCCCAGATGCTCTCATRGGGCACATTCTAAAAGCGCTCATCAATCCTATCCCCCACCCAGACTCCTGGCACCTCTCAGTGTGCTGCCTCTGCTCGGAGGGGATGCTGTTTCAGACCAGGATTTTGGGGGAGCACACTGCCAGACCCCTCCACCCCTGCTGAAGGCAGKATTTGGAAGGGAAAACTCTGGGAGGCAATCCTATCCCAGACTGCGGGCGTGCAGCAGGCATGGAGAAGAGCTGGGTGCTGTTCTGCCACATCCTGATGTTCTTCCTGTGTCCCCAAAGTGGCACCTGGGCCAGCACGTGCCTGTGCAGCCTTTGRCATCTCCCCAAAGTGCCCTGAGCTCATCCCAGCTGCCCATCACCAGGGGATGAATGGTGTTGGCACCTCATCAGCCCCTCATCTCAGCAATGACCACCCCATTGTGAGCACCCTGCACYCACCCTATTCCCCAGCATCATCTCCATCCCTAAAGGAGCCATTTCCATCCCAGCAGGCACCAAGAACCCGGAAAACACCGGGCAACATCCCAGCAGATCCATGTGCTGACAAAAACACGGTGCAGACCCATGTCCAGGCCTGATGCAAATTTAATTGAATGGGAATGAGATGTTTTTTATGTCCTTAAAACACATTAAGTGCCTGGAAGTTAATTGGTATTTAATTAGCATAAATCAAGCACTTTAATAATGCTCAAGGAAAAACAACGTGGTGTTACAGATGCTTTATCAAAAGTCACCCTGACAAATTAAAGAATTAAAGAATGTGCCCAGCACATCAGCACACGAGGCCGGGCACGGGCTGTCCCYCCTCCTGTCCCCTGCACATGGGGACTGTGGGCAGTGGCACCTGGAGGGACCTGCTGAGTCCTCCTCGCCTGCACCTGCTGGGAGAGGTGCCTTGAACCCGAGGTGCAGCAGGGAGCTGAGTGTGGGATGGATCTGGGATGGAGGAGGAAATTGGGATGCAGCATGGGTCCGGGTGCAGGACGGATCTGGGATGCAGGATGGATTTGGGGTGCAGGAAGGATCCGGGATGCAGGAAGGATCTGGGGTGCAGGAAGGGTTTGGAGTGCAGGATGGATCCGGGGTCCACGAAGGATCCGGGGTGCAGGAAGAGTTTGGGATGCAGGATGGATCCGGGGTGCAGGGTGGATCCGGGGTGCAGGAAGGGTTTGGGATGCAGGATGGATCCTGGGTGCAGCATGGATCTGGGATGCAGGAAGGGTTTGGGATGCAGGATGGATCCGGGGTGCAGGATGGATCCGGGGTGCAGGAAGGGTTTGGGATGCAGGATGGATCCGGGGTGCAGGGTGGATCCGGGATGCAGGAAGGGTTTGGGATGCAGGATGGATCCGGGGTGCAGGAAGGATTTGGGATGCAGGATGGATCCGGGGTGCGGGAAGCACCCAGGCTGCAGGAGGCTGCCCTGCCCGGTGCAGAAGCAGCCGCAGCCAAGCGCGTTTCCTGCGGGGCCGAGCATCCTCTCGAAAGGGGAAGGTGAGAGCCCGTCACCCCCCGGGGCCCCAGCCCCACTCCCACTGAGAGCTGGGTCCCGAGCAGGGACAGGGACGCGTTGGGGTCCCCACAGCAGCAGCTCGCACCGGCACCCGCTCCCCAAATGGCTCCTYTGGGGAGGGGAAGAGCCATTCTGCTCCCTGTTTGGTTCGGCATTTTTTTTGTGGCGTTGCCATGACAACCGTCCCGGTGACATCTTCATGCTATTTGTCTCCTTCTGGGGGTTGCATCATTTTCTTTCCTGAATGAGCAGCTGCCGGGTTCCCGGCTCACCTGGAGCCCACGGTGCCCCCGGGGCTCACGGCCCTGCCCAGCCCTGGGAGCTGCTCAGAGAGGGGTCCAGCAGCCCCCTCTCCCCCCACACCGAGCCAGGGACGCTCCGTTCTCGGCATTCCCTCACTCCAGCATCTCCACAGCACTGTCCTTTTCTAAAAACGCAGCTTTATGCGCGTCTGTGCCCCTGCGCGGGTCACCTCCCGGGATGGGAAAGTAGAAAACAAGCTGAAAATAGAGAGGTGACATTGGCAGTGCCCTGCCAGCCCCACGGGGACAGCGCAAAGCTGGGAACTGCCCTGTCACAGCAACTGCGAGAGCCACCAGCGGAGAGAGGGAGGAAGCATCTGCCTTGCCCGGGGGGTTCCTCCAGCCCCGCCGCTGCCCGAGAGGGGGAACAGCCGGAATCGGCAGCGAGSTCCTGCCCGGGGAAGGTGCTCTGAACCCGCTCAGGGCAGCCSGGCCCTTCCCCTCTCCTCCTGCTTCCTCTTTCCAGCCCCATTGCTGCGCTGTGCCCTGGAGCTGGGCAGGGTGGGCAGCCCAGGCTGGGGGCGCAGCTCTCCCAGCACAGCCCCTGCCCCAGGGGCACCTCCGAGCCACGCTGGGGGCTGGGAAAGCAACAGGCATTTCCCAAGAAAAATGGCAAAATTCCGAATGGCTTAACCCAGGGAACACGAGGGGTTCCTGTCTAGAGTTAGGGGTGTTCTCAGTGACACCCGTGTGCCAGTCCAGCTCCCATGGGCCCGGGTCCCCATGGAGCCCCCCCAGGGGAGGTTTGGGGCCGCAGGATGAGTCAGGGCAGCGCTGCTGGAGGGGACGGATGCCCGGCTGACGCAAAGCTGCTGCGCTGGCTCCTCTCCCCCTGCCCACACAGCTCCATCCTCTCCTTCCCTGGCTCCTCCTGCCTCTGGCAGCATCCCCTCTGCCAACCAGCCCCCCTTCCCCCCCGGCCCACTGCGCTCCTCCTCTGGCATCTGGGTGAGTGCCTCACCCCCCACCCCGGTCCTCCTGATAGCCCGAGGGGCCAGAGACAGGACTGTCCCCAAATCTCCCTTCTCCTGTCACCCTCTGTGGCAGCATCCATGGGGCAGGAGCTGCTTGGCCTCATCCCAGCCAGTTTGAGTGGGGAGCAGTGGTGCCCACCCCGAGGGCACAGGGCTCCCTGGCTCTGTGGATGCCCAGGCACAGCTCTGGGGGTCGGGTGCTGTGCAGGGGCAGTGCCAGAGGAGCCTGGGGCACCACGGGCACRGTGCTGGTCAGAGGATGCTCCCGGTGAACCCCGGGGACCATGGTCTGGCTGGGAGGTTTCCATCCTTCCTCCAGCAGCAGGGGAACCATGGCTGGCYCACAGGTGCCAGGGAGATGCTGAGGGGGACGGGATGAAGAGGAAGGAGCAGGRGCAGGAGGTTCCACCCTGGCTGTGCCAGGCTGCACCTGCTGCCCACGGATGGGGCCCTGTGCCCGGTGTCACTTCAGGAGCAGGCGCATGGTCTGGTCACCCAGCAGGAGCCTTCAAGGAGATAAAAGAGACAGAAATTCAGAGTCAGCATCTCTGCCATCACAAGGATACAACAAGGACAGGGGGACAGYACCGACACCAGCCTGAGGCTGATTCGTCACACAAGACAAAGATGAATCAAACGCTCATTTTGACACAGGTTGGATCTTTGCTGTCATCCTGTGCTCACGGGAAGGAGAAGGGAAAGGATTCTCCAGYCCCTGGACACCTCTCTGGAGAAGCATCTGGAGCCTTGCCCGATGGAGGAGGGCAGCAGCACAGGGGGCAAAAGGAGGGTCAGCCAGCAGAGTGCCACTCCCTGTGTCACTGCGRTGTCACCTACCTCACCAGCACCCCRACGACGAGGGCAGCCASCATGGGCCCCACCCAGTACACCCAGTGGTAGTCCCAGTAGTTCGCCACCAGAGCTGGCCCAAAGGCTCGAGCYGGGTTCATGCAGGCTCCGGACACACCGCCCCTGCAAGGGGAACAGAGGGCTGTGTCACCGCAGCAGGACACAACAGTGGCAYTGTCCCCTCAGTGCTGGGACAGGGCAATGGCCGGGCTGGGGGCAGCAGCATCCTCTTGCCAAGGTCCTTCCCAGGGTTCTGGAGGGCAGTGGGCTTGGACCACCTTGGCCCATATCCCGCACTGCTGTTCAGTGATGGGGATGGTTTTCCAYGGCAGCCCAGAACCAGTGATGCTCTGCAGCCACACAGGGACCAGCCTGGCCCAGCAGCAGCTGCTCATCAGCACCAGCCTTCACTACAGGTTGGCAAGTTCTGGGGAAAACCCAGCCTGGCATGGAAGCACCAGGGATGACTTATTGAGGAGCACACCAGGAGCCAGGTTTGCACAGAGAAGGTTCAACATCTCACATAGGAGCAGGTGGGAGGGACAGGAGCAATTACAGGTTACAGGGGTAAATATTTGGCCAGGGGTTTGTGCTGTGTTTAAACACGGCCCAGGGTCCTGCCAGAGTGGGTGGGTGCTGCCTTAACCCAACACTCATTAGCATTCCTAACTGTCATGGTGGCACYRGAGYTGGGCTGAGCTCGGCAGTGCYTCCAGCAGCCTCGGGGACACGAGGRRCACAAACCCSTCCTGTTTGCTCAGGGCTTCCTACGGCAAACACAGCCCGGGCAGGCCTGGGGTTATCACTCAGGGCAGGTGCTCGGGGCGGCTGCGGTGCCACGCGCCGGGATGAGCCCACGGCCGCTCCTGCTCCAGGCTGAGCCAAGGCTGCTCCTGCTCCCAGCCCGTTAGCTCTCCAGAAACTGCCAGAATGCCCAGTGGGCCCATTTGGTGGCCTTCCTGGTGTGCTTGGCTTGACTCAGTTTCCCTGG